GGTTTCAGAGCGGTTCGCTCCTAGCGGGCCTGCTCCTCACCCTTCCGCTGCGCTTTTCTATCGCCATTTTCGGGCCGCCGCCATCCCTCGCCGCGCTGCCATGGCGACCTCGACACTTAGCCGTGGCGGCCATGTCAAGGTGCCGTGGCGGCCTCGTCGCATGGCTGCCACGTCGAGCAGCCGTGCTGGGCTTGCCGCCCTGACGTGGCGGATCCGCCGTTCTACCTTCCCGCCGTGTGCCCGTGCTGTGGCCAGCGCCCTGACGTTCGTGGCGCCGCCACACCTGCCGCCACCACACCTGCCGCCCGCACACCAGCCTCCAGCGTGAGGCTGGACCATGCCCCGCCCCTCTTCCCTTGTGTCCTGTTCCTCGCCGCAGCCGACGGCTGACTCCCGCCGGCCGTCCCATCATCGCGGAGTTTGGTCACGTCGCCGAGTGGGGCGAGCGCAGCCGCCGCTGCTGCTGTTGTCGAATCCCCCGCCGCCGCTGCTGTTGCCGCTGGCTTTACTTGCCACCGCCGCTGCTATCGTCATTGCTGACGCCGCCGTCGTCGCCACCGCACCCTCGTCGTTGACGTTGCCGCCCCGCCAGTGGAAAGGTCGACCGCGTTGTCAACCGCCACTACTACTGCAGGGAATGGGGGTGCTAGGTTAGGGGGTGTGGGTGTGTGTGGGTTCACCTATTACCAAGCCTAGGCGTTGTGTTAAAATTATATTTTATATAACTGTAGGCTTGGTATTTGTGCTACTGCATCCTACTGTAGAGGGGACAACTCCCCTTCTTGTACCTGATTCTCTTCTATTTCAAACCCTCTTTCCTCTCGTATCTTCTCCCCCTAGCTAAACCTTCCTCTCGTATTTCATGGCCGCCTAGTATTCTCGTACGCTAACAGTGCCGCCCTGACTTGCTTTAGTCCTGTTTGTACCCTTGCTGACTGGTCTTCAGACCCCTGCTTCAGTGGTTGGACTAGTAGTGCCACCCTGAGCTGTTTGCTTCTTGCTTAGCTTCACCCCTTGTCTAGCCTAGGGGGTGTGTCAACTTATACATGTTAGTGTTAAAGTAGCTCTAGGCTAGGATACTAGGCAGGAACAAGGCCGCCATGAATGTGGCGGCGGGGTTTAGCTAGGAGCTGGACGAGAGTGTCGAGAGAAATGTGGGTTGGATTAGGAAGAGAGAGGAGTACAAGGAGGGGTTTGTACCCTCTACAGAAAGGTTCAGTTTGCCTCCGGTGTCCTTGGTCGCTTTTGTCGTGCGGAGGGCATCACCCAGACGTTCACCCTACCGGACTCCCCACAGCAGAATGGGGTCGCTGAGCGACGCATCGGTTTGGTCATGGAGGTCGCTCGCACCTCCATGGTCCATGCCGGTGCACCCCATTTTCTGTGGCCGTTCGCTGTGCGCTACGCTTCTCACCAGCTTAACCTGTGGCCGCACCCTCAGCAGCCGCAGGTTTCGCCGACCCGTCTGTGGACTGGGTCTCCTGGTGACGCGTCTGCGTTCCACGTCTGGGGCTGCCTTGCTCACGTCCGTGCCTCCGGCACGGACAAGCTCACTGCCCGCACCCTTCCCTGCGTCTTCCTCGGTTTTCCCCTTGACGCGTCCGGCTGGCACTTTTACCACCCACCGTCTCACCGCTTCTTTCACTCTCGTGACGTCACCTTTGACGAGTCCGTCTCCTACTACCGCCGCTTCCCCCACCGTGGTCCCCCGGTTACCCCCCCCCTGTTCCTGGTCACCCCTTCCCCGGTAGTCCCTGCCCCTCCTCCTCCTCCTCCCCGTCCCGCCCCCTCTGGTGTCTCCCACGTCACCCCCCTTCCGTCCGTGGACCCGGTTGAGGAGTCTTCTGACTCTGGTGGCCCTCCGGTGCAGTCCTCGCCGGCCGCCCCTCCCCAGGTGTCCCCTCCCCAGTCCCCTCCTCCGCCGCCCCTGCCGCCGCTGCAGCCGTCGCCGTCGCCGCTGCCGCCGCCGCCGTCGCCGCCCTCGTTCGCTGACTCTGGGGGTGCTCGTCCCGGTCGCCCTGAGGGTGGTCCCTCTGGGGGTGCGGGTGTGGAGAGTGCCGGTGGTAGCCGAGGAGCAGCTTGCGGTCCAGGTGTCGCCGTTGTGCCGCCGCAGCAGCAGTTCCCACCGGTGTCCGCCCTTCGCCTGCTCGGCCTTCCGTCCCCCGACCCTGCGTCGGTTCCTCCCCGCCCGTCTCCTCCTCTTCCTGTCTACGGCCCTGTTTTCCCTCCGCCGGACTCGTCCCCGGCCCGTCTCCCCCCTCGTTCCCCTCCTGTATCCCCTCCCATGTCTCCTGACCCGACTCCTCCGTCCCACGGCTGGTCTCACCGTCCCTCCCGTGCTCGTTCTGCCTCGCCTGTCTTGCGCTCCCACCCTATGTTGCTTCGTTCACACGCGTCTCGTCCTCCCCTTCTGCCGTCGCCTCCTCCGTCCTCCCTTGTTGTTGCGCCCCCCCCGCTGTCCGACTACCTTCGTGCCGCTCGTCCTCTCGTTCCTCGGGTCCTTGCCTCCCTCGTTACCGACCCGTCTGTTCCGGTCTCGTGCCTTGACGCTCTTGTCGCTGCTGTCGCTGACTTCGCCTCTACCCGCCGCCTTGACTACGCCACCGCTCTGGTCTTTGACCCTGCCTGTCCTCCGTCTGTCGGGGGTGCTCCTGCCCTTGGCAGTGACGTCCTGGAGGACCGCCAGTTCGAGCTTGCTTTCCTCTCCGAGGCTGCTCCCCATCTCTGTTCCATGCTACTAGTCCCTGAGGGTGACCCAGACGCTTTCGACATCCCGACCCCTCGCACTTACGCTGAGGCGACTTCGGGACCCTGGGCCTCACAGTGGATAGCTGCCATGGAGCAGGAGATGGCATCTTGGAGATCCACCGGCACCTTCGTCGACGCAGTTCCCCCGCCTGGGGTGAACGTAGTCGATGGCCGCTGGCTCTTCAAGGTGAAGCGCCCTCCTGGAGAGCCGCCTGTCTTCAGTCAGCTAGAGGCTTCAGTCAGCGCGAGGGGGTGGACTTCTTCCAGACTTTCGCTCCGACCCCGAAGATGACTACTCTTCGGGTTCTGTTACACCTAGCTGCTCAGCGTGACTACGAGCTTCACTCACTCGACTTCTCCACTGCCTTCCTTCAGGGCAGCCTACACGAGCAGGTCTACCTGCGCCGTCCTCCGGGCTTTTCTGGCACCTTCCCTCCTGGGACCCAGTGGCTCCTGCGGCGCCCCGTCTACGGCCTGCGCCAGGCTCCCCGTGAGTGGCACGACACTCTGCGTGCTACACTAGCTGACCTGCAGTTCTTTCCGTCTTCTGCAGACCCTTCACTCTTCGTTCGTGCTGGCCAGACTCCGTTCTACATCCTCGTTTACGTCGACGACCTGGTCTTTGCCACAGCAGACAGGGACGCGCTGGCCTCCGTGAAGGCAGAGCTGCTGAAGAGACACACCTGCACTGACCTTGGAGAACTGCGCCGTTACCTTGGCTTGCAGATCTCCAGGGACAGAGCTGCGCGCACCATCACCCTGACTCAGTCACACTTGGTGCGCCAGGTCCTTCAGAGGTTCAGCCTTCAGTTCTCCTCTGCACAGCCCACCCCTCTGCCTGTAGACCACAGGCTCTCCGCTCCAGTGCCTGAGGAGTTGGTAGAGCCCAGCGGCCCCTACGCAGAGCTGGTGGGTTGCCTCATGTACCTGATGACTTGCACTCGCCCAGATCTCGCATACCCTCTCAGCATCCTGGCTCGCTTTGTGGCCACAGGCAGACACCGACCGCAACACTGGTCTGCCGCTAAGAGGGTTCTGCGTTATCTTGCTAGTACATCGGGCATGGGGTTAGTGCTAGGAGGACGCAGGCCAGCGATCCTTACTGGGCACACAGACGCTTCGTGGGCAGACGACGCTGAGACACTCCGGTCTACCCAGGGCTACTGCTTCAGCCTTGGCTCAGGTGCCGTCTCGTGGAGAGCTACTCGCTCCTCGTCTGTTGCACAGTCTAGCTGTGAGGCTGAGATCCACGCTGGTGCCATGGCGGCACAGGAGCTCCGCTGGCTGACCTTCTTGCTCACTGACTTAGGTGAGCGGCCTAGCTCTGCCCCGGTCCTGTTCGCTGACAACAGGGCCATGATCCTCCTGTGTCAGGAGCCTCGACTCGAGGGCAGAGCGAAGCACATTCAGCTGCGGTACTTCCTCCTGCGTGAGCTACAGCAGCGACGTCAGGCTCGCGTAGTACACTTGGCCTCATGTGCCAACACGGCTGATATCTTTACGAAGGCGCTTGCGCCTAAAGATCATCAGCGGCACTGTGTACAGCTTGGTCTAGTTCCTGTAGCCTCTCACTTGCTAGGACCTTGACTTTGTACTGTCCTTTATATGTATACTCAGACTGGACTTGTGTCCTCTCCCAGTGGCTGGACTAGTAGTACCGCCCTGCTCTTGTGCTTGCCTTGTCTGTACTCCTTCTGACTGGTCGCTCAGACCCTTGTCTCAGAGGTTGGACTAGTAGTGCCGCCCTGAGCTGTTTGTTTAGGACTTTCCCCTATGCAGTCTAGGGGGTGTGTCAAACATGTCTATGTGTTATGTTTGTATAGACTGTATAGGGTAGCCTCTTAGAGGGTACAACACTTAGCTATATTGTGTGTACTCTCTCTGTATCACTAACACTGCAATTTTTGATATAATAACCTACCAAGCCTATATTAAAATATAACTTATATAATTTGAACAGTTAGCTGTGTACAAGTTATAGGCTAGACTGGAGTATGCTTCTAATGAGTACAACCAACTAGTATTTGTTATAGGTTTCTACTTCTAGTTCATCATTCAGTCCTTAACAACCTGCACGTAGAGAATTGGACTTCAATGAAGTGTATGTGTTAGCTGACGAGTTCATTTCTATTGCCTAAACATAATTAAGGCGATTTTTTCTTGAAGCTGAGGTGTGACAAAACCAGGCCCGATTCGCTTATCACTTTCGCAGATAACTTTCTCATCACATGCACAATGCATGAAAAAAACCCTACTTAAGATATAATTAATTTGAATATTTTTTGCCAAACCCTACCTGTCTCTCTGAAGCTTTTCTCCAGATATACAGAATCAGTTAGAACGACACCTGGAATACCATCATTTTGGGGTATAGGCCCAATCTTTTTTTTTTCAGGCAATTGGGGCAAGATTTTTTTTCCATTTTTTTGTACTCATTTTTCTCCCCACTTTTTTCCAAAAAAGGTCTGTCTTCCACACGAGACCTGTCAAGCAGCAGCAGCAGTCTCGCCACACCATACCACCACCAGCAGCAGCAGCTAAGGCCCCATTATCAGCTCTACCACGCACCTCAGAACCCCTAACACGCCACTCAAGTCCCCATGTTCCAACTGGTTGCAGACACGAGTAATTAGCAGCTGAAGAATGCACTTCCAAATCCCTCCCTCCCTCCCTCCCAGGGCCCGCCACAGCACCGCCTGCCATGTTCAGCACAGTTCCAACGTGACGAAACGGCAGCCAGCAGGGTCAGGCCCCAGACCAAGTCGGCAGGCAGGTCTCTAATCAGGGCTAAGCTGTCTCCTGGCCCGACTGTGCCATGTAGAATGGCAGGCGACGACAACAGTACTCTCAGTAGTAGGGGCGGTAGCGGAAGGGACGGCGGAAGCGAGGCGCCCTCCTGCACGCACGAGGGGCAAGGAGACGAACGAGCATTAACGGAAAGAATGGCCTGTAGAATCGAAGGTCTGGAAGTTAACGAAGTTTCAAGCGAAAAAGGCGATAAGCCGCCATGGTGCAAGCAAGCAGAGCCATGTGGCGCTCAAGCACGCACCCGTAGCCGCCTGGTGCGCCGCCGCGGAAGGGGCGGTAGCCGGGGCGGCGGAATCTGTGCGACTTCATGCCGGGCACGTTGGTGCGCTTCGCCACCACCTGCGCGCGCAAGTCAGCGAATAGAGCGGGATCGCAGTGAATGGGGGAGGATAAGTGGAGTCGAATAAGGGAGACGATCATCACGGGGTACATACACCATTACCCCCTCTCCCCACCTACCCCGAACCCCTCCCCCAGTTATCGTTAACCGGTCCTTAACATCCTCAAAGCTTCAGACATACATCTCCTTTCCCTTCCATCCGTTCTCCCCTCACCCAGTCCATTTAAGGACCCCAAACCCCCTGTACCTAAGCCAGAACAGAGAGCTACGCCGAAACCCCTTAAGTCACTGCCAAGGACACTGAGAGCTGGCAATCTGGCGGCGCGCGGCTGATCCCCAACCCAAACCCTGTTCAGTGTGTACCTTGAGCGGCCGGCCGTGAAGCTCTGACTCGTTGAGCAGCGCGGCGTTCTGCACCGCGTCCACCTCCAGGAACTCCACGTAAGCGAACCTGCACGCAACGGGGGTTGGGGGAGAGGGGAGGAGAGGAAGCGGCGACCAGCAACGACGCAGACGAAATTTGTTATGAAGGACGGACGGGGAGATGATAAGGCAGTCCGTAGACGGCGATTCGTGTTTCTGCCATTGAAAGTGACCAACTGAAACTCCTACGGGCGATCGAAACGGACGGAAGAAGTTGGTACATAACGCACCCTTTAGGCTGGCCGTATCGGTCGGTGAGGATGGTGACGCGGTTGACGGTGCCGCACGACTGGAAGTGCTGCTGCACCTCCTCTGGCGTGCACGCGTAGTCAACCTGCACGCGGAGCCGCGAGGGGGGAGAGACGACGCGGACGATGGACCGAAAAAAAACGACGCAGAGACAAACGGTTAGACGTCACACTGGGAATTACTGTCAAGATGTTTCTGAGTAGTTAATTCGGCAAGAAGGCGAAAGAGACGACGGCGGCAATAGCGGTTTCACCGAAGAAAAGGACAGTTATTGGATTTTCGTTCCAAGGTTTGGACTCACGTTTCCGACGAAGACTGATCGCGCGTCGGCCTCCTCCCTGCTGGCTTGAGAGACGGCGTTGGGGTCACCACCCTCTGCCATGGGAATTCAAGAAACAGCGGCCAGGGATCAAACGTCAAAATCCGCATGCATCGGCCAGGAAGGCGATCTAAAATTCGGCGGACCAGCAGAGGGAACTACGGTCGAGAAAAAGCAAAATCTCGGGGAAGCGCGAGACGTAAGCGCGCGCGAGTATAGTCTCAGGGGCGCACCTGGAACGGCACCCATCTCCTTCTCGACCCGGGCTTGCATCTCGCGCAATGCCGCCGCCTCCTCCTCCATCTCTCTCAGCCGCTTCTTCATCTCCTCCAACTCCTGCGCGCGAATGAAGCAATGACAGGGGGGAAACACGTAGACGACAGACCACGATGAGAAAACGATGAGAAGGGTGAACACACAAAGAAAAAATGTGAACACACCAAGATTGACGACGGGGCACCTTTAGGGTGGCACCATGGACGATGATGGGAAGGAGTGGTGAAGGGGAAGGAAAACAAGACGAGAGGCGGGAGGGACGAAAGGGGGAGATCGAGCGGCGGAGCAGCCGTACCTTTGCGGCAGCGTCTTCTCCGCCCTCGCCGCCTGCTGCGGTCCCCGCTGCGCCAGACGCCCCGCCTGACGCTCCCGGGCCATCTGCGGTTGCTGCGGCGGCCCCCCCGGCGCCTTCGCCTTCCTCGCCGGTGCCCTCAAGATCCCCCTCGTACTCGCCCTCGGCCTCCTCGGGAATATCGCCGCCGTACACCTCATGCTCCTCCGCCTCGTCGGCCATTGCGCGGGGAACGAAAAAGACGGCCGAGTGACGGTATGGTTAGAGGTGCAAGGTAGTAAATTAGGGTGCACTATGATAACTGGAAATCCGAACTGCGAAGTGAGAAGTGTCAGGGTTGAAGGTGCAGTAAGGAAGTGAGCTGTGGTTGAGATGATCGGTTCGAGAGAGGGTTTAGCTTTGCTGGGGTCTTGTAGTGCGTCCCCTCAACTGATCGCGCGCACCACGACAGCTGTCAGCCGCGCCGAAAGGGGGAAGCGGGGTAGGGGGCGGGGGAGTGGGACCCGGGGGTGGAAGGCGTGCTGCTCTGTTGGTGCTGGGGGGGGGATGGGGGGAGGGAGGAAGGGGGGTATGTGTCGGGCTGGTTCGGCATGGGGAGAATGAAACCGTGAGGGCTAAAACCCCGACCAGGATCAGGTTGGTGCGGGGAAATTGTGGGGTTGAGCTCGGCTGACGGGGGCTAGGGTATGGGTGATGTGGCTGAAACCCCTCAATTAGTGGAGCAAAAGACGGGCTGAAACGACGAAGCGCTGAAGTAGGTTTTCCTCATCAGAAGCAAGCCTGACAGTAGCGATAAGGAGAGAAAGTTCAGCAGTACAACACTTTCTCTTTACAAGATTAGAGCATTATGCGTATGTTATGATCTTCAAGTACGTGTCTTGAAAAGCCAACCAAATATCGCCCTATTATGGCCCCAGGCAAATTATTTCACGTGTTTTTTTTGTTTTTGTTTTTTTAAGCATACAACTCGCCATGATTTGGTCCCATGTGAAGCGATCCAATATAGTCGATAGGATCTTTTGAATTGAACTGGAGTAGTGTGTTTTGCAGAAGCAATTGATTGGTGGATGAACTCTGTCAGAGTAAATGTAACTTAATAGAATTTATTATAGCAAAGAGATACACAGTTCATATAGTGATACAAGAGAATGCAAGAGGTCTAACTAAGATGCACTTAGCAGGGGTACATTCCATTCCATGCAAAGTACATGTGGACGAGGTCAATCAGATCATGGCTGTCTCCGTTGCAATTGGAATGTCGAATTGTAAAACGTAGACTCCATCGACTGACACTGCCTTGCCGATGTACCGTATTCCCCCGGATATACATGCCTAGGTGCGTATATGGATTATAGTCTCAAAATGGGGGGTGTGTTTATTCGATTTTTTTTATATGGCACAGTGCGTTTAAAAAGGTCTATAGGAAAATACAAAAAAACATGAAAATGTAGCTCAAACAATTTCAACTCGTGTGGATGTGCTCCCAAACGCGAATACCTTAAGCAACCCCTCGAAAATCTCCCGACACTAGATCGACTTGCCAACCAAGCAGGATCCCTGCACTTTGTCAGGGAGCAGGCAAGATGGGTCGATCATGGCCATCCGCTCCTGTCTAATGCACGGCAGCAAAGCAATGTTGACCACAATTCGCGTGAGGAGGTGGCGAGAGGATGGATTCTGTGTGATGAAACGAAATCTCAACCCTAATCTCAACTCGAATTTGTGGTCAATCCGGTCAGCGCAAGATACTTGCGCGGAAAAAAGGGGTGCGTGTAGGGATTAGATCCTACGCAGAGGGGAGGTGCATATAGTTGGCACGCCCGATATGGCACCCCTCCGGATATACACACCATGGTGCGTTTTAGCCGGCGGTGCGTGTATCTGGGGGAATACGGTACCGAAGCGGGTTCTCGGGTTCGCTTGGTAGGATGGGTTTCCGATAGTGTAGCAGGGGGTGCTGTGTCTGAGGGTCATTATTGATAATGGCGCCGCATAACATGAGCTAGGTTGTTGAGGGTAGGTTGCAGCACAGATTCTGAACAATGAGCACGTCGTTCAACGTGGTGTGGGTTAAGAAGGTTTTGAGCATATCGGACACTGATCCCTTGTTGGCGACGGTGACGTGAGCTGGAGCGAGGGTTGGGGTGACATTGGAGATGAAACGCACTGATCCGACCATGTGATGCCCAGAGCAACTGTCCAAGTACAAGGTATTGTAGTTGTCTCGGTTGTTGCGAGCGATCATCACGATCCTTGGAGTGAGCACATAGGGACGACATGAGTTGTGCATTAAGTGGTCCTTAGGGAAAGAGTCCAAGTTTTGTCTGTCATCTCCAATTGTCGTGTCGGGAGTGTAAGGTGTAGGCTCCAGCACAGGAATAAGGAGATTTCATTGTCGCTCATCGTCGTTGTAGCTGTCGTGCTCGTCGTAAGGGTTGTTGTGGTAGTAGGTCCTTGCGGCCAGGGTGAAGTCGCCTTGATTTGGTTGTGTTGGAGGCATGCGAGAACGTCGATTCACTCGTCGTATGGGACCCTGCGATCTCATCGCCATGAATCGAACGAGGGTCCAAGGATGCAGGAGGGTGCTGATCCGTATGGGATGGGCGACTGGTCTGACGCGGTTCGTGTGGGGAAGGTGCAATGGGTTTCCTCTGGTGGAAGTGTCCCCATTGACTTCCACTTGGAGTAGGCGTGTAGGATGGTCTTGCGTTACTTGCCGCTTGGTGCTGGCAACGCTAAGTAGAGTATCTAAAGGTTTTGTAGAGTTAGCAAAAATAGGGGCGACTAAGCGTGTCGCGGCGAGGCTCCTTCTGGCCCGAGTAGAAGGCTAGCCTTTCTTTGCGCAGAGGTCCATGTGCTGCTGCTCAGTCAGCAGTGTCGTGCAAAGAGTTGCTTAGGAGATTTCGCTCTGTTTGTGTAATATGACTTTGCACGGTCACATTCATAAGTAAGTCCTGCAAGTACGATCGTCACGAACATATCTTCAGTGATCGTGTTCCCAAGCTTGGTGATCTGTTCGCAAATGCTTTGGCAGCGGTTGAGTGCAATTGTTGGCCTTCTCTCCAGAGACTATCTCCACTTCTAGTAGCTGGCGAGTAGTCCACTCGATGCTACAGAGTCCTTTCTCAGGTATAGCCAGGAATCACAAGCCGTAGCGGTGCGCGTTTTGAACGATCGAATTATGAGTTGCTCAGATGCGGATAAATTACGCAGGAGAACGCTGTACGCTATGAGCGATCCGTTGTAGTTCGCTATTTTGCATCTTCGGCGTCGATCGTTGATCTGAGCCGTCGAAATAGCAGAAGATTTGAGTGCTCTGCATGAGAAGCTCAAACGTGAAACCTCAAGTCTAGAAATCACGACATTCGAAGATTGAGCTTCTTCTAATCATTGATACGGCGAAGAAATTCAATCGTGTTGTCTGCAGGGCTTCGTCACTTAATACTATGCTTGGTGGTTGCGTGTTGGAAGCGTCGAAGTCAAAGAAGCCATGAACGGAATTCTAGTATGCAGAGGTTGGTTACATTTCAGTGGGTTTGGCGAGCGGTGTCGAGCTGTCGACCTTGAGAAATTGAAGTCGATCTTCAAGACTTGTCATTTGTTGATGCAGTTTTTCGAGGAGTCGAGGTACAACGGTCATTGTTGTCGCCGGATTCGATGTGTCTACATGTGCTTCACGAAGATGGCTTCCTTGCCTTCGTGATTCCAACCTTGGGGCCATTCTGTGGAGGGAGCGATTTACTGGCGCCACGATATTTGAATTTAAAATAGATCAAGGGTGTCGTCCATAGAATCGTGAGAGGCTTTGTGTACCATGACGGTATCAAATACGGTATAGTGCGTAGGATTTTAAAATTGAACTGCAGTAGTGCTCTTCAAGAAGCGATTGATCAGTAGATGAACTCAATGGGGATTATTTACAGCAATGAGATACAGAGCTCATGTAGTGATACAAGAGAATGCGAAGGGTCTAGCTAATATGCACTTAACAGGAGTGCATTCTCTTTAAGGCTCTAGATCCGACTCGGGTAACTGATTGCGCTGTATTACAAGGCTAATTATGTGTACCGTACTTGTTTTCATGACGAACCCTTGGACTTTTATCAATTATACTGTCGGTCAAAAATCAACAACCGTTCCACTTCGTGCTCCGCGTCATAGGCTTGTCTCAGAGTAGAAAGAGTAACTAGAAAGAGAGAAACATGGTGGTTTTCCTAAGGGGTTACACTCTATAAGAGTACGCACCTATCTAGCCTATATGTTTGACACATGTTAGCCTAACATGGTGGTTTGCCTAAGACCAGGTCGTCTACGTAGACAAGGATGTAGAACGGAGTCTGGCCAGCACGAACGAAGAGCGAGGGGTCTGCAGAGGACGGAAAGAACTGCAAGTCAGCAAGCGTAGCACGCAGCATGTCATGCCACTCACGGGGAGCCTGCCGCAGGCCGTAGACGAGGCGCCACTGGGTCGCAGGAGGGAAGGTACCAGTAAAGCCCGGAGGGCGACGCAGGTAGACCTGCTCGTGTAGACTGCCCTGAAGAAACGCAGTAGAGAAGTCGAGGGAGTGAAGCTCGTATTCACGTTGCGCTGCTACGTGTAGCAGCACCCGAAGAGTAGTCATCTTCGGGGTCGGAGCGAAGGTCTGGAAGAAGTCCACCCCCTCACGCTGACTGAAACCTCTAGCCACGTAGTGCGCCTTGAACACAGGCGGCTCTCCAGGAGGGCGCTTCACCTTGAAGAGCCAGCGGCCATCGACTACGTTCACCCCAAATGGGGGAACTGCGTTAACGTAGGTGCCGGTGGATCTCCAACATGCCATCTCCTGCTCCATGGCAGCTATCCACTGAGAGGCCTAGGGTCCCGAGACCGCCTCAGCGTAAGTGCGTGGGGTCGTGATGTCGAAAGTGTCGGGGTCACCCTCAGGGACTAAAAGCATGGAACAAAGATGGGGAGCAGCCTCGGACAGGAAAGCAAGCTCGTACTGGCGGTCCTCCAAGACGTCACTGCCAAGGGAAGGAGCACCGCCAACAGACGGAGGACAGGCAGGGTCAGAGACCAGAGCGGTGGCGTAGTCAAGGCGACGGGTAGAGGCGAAGTCAACGACCGCAGCGACAAGGGCGGCAAGGCTCGAAACCGGAACGGACGGGTCGGTAACGAGAGATGCAAGGACCCGAGGAACAAGAGGATGAGCGGCACGCAGGTAGTTAGACAGAGGGGGGGGGAGCAACACAAAGGGAGGACGGAGGGGGCGATGGGAGAAGGGGAAGACGAGACGCGTGGGAACGAAGCAACATAGGGCGAGAGCACGAGACAGGAGAGACAAGTCGAGCACAGGAGGGACAGCGAGACTTGACGTGAGACGGGGGAGTCGGGT